CAAAAACCCCAAAAAAAGGGGGGGGGGGGGGGGGGGTTTTCCCTTTTCCCCCCCGGGCCCCCCCGGGGGGTTTTTAAAAAAGGGGGGCCCCCTTTTGGGGGGCCCCACCCAAAACGCAAAAGGGGGGAGGGGGGGGGGGCCCTTTTTTAAAAAAGGGGGGGGGGGTTTTTTTTTTCCCCCCCCCAAAAAGGGGAAAAAACCCCCCGGGGGGGCCCGGGGGGGGGTTCCCCAAAGGGGAAAAAAGGGGGCCCCCCAAAATTTTTCCCCCCCTTTTCCAGGGCCCCCCCCAAAAAAAAGGGGGGCCCCCCCCGGGGCCCCGGGGGGGGGTTTAAAGGGACCCCCCCAAAAAGGGGGAAAAACCCCCGGGGGGGCCCTTCAGGGGGCCCCCCCCGGGGCCCCCAGCGGGGGCCAAAGTTTTTGGGGGGGGAAAAAACCCCAAACCCCCCCTTTTTTCCCCCCCCCCGGTTTTCCCGGGGGCCCCCCCGGGGCCTGGGGGGGGGGAAAAAAAAAAAACCCGGGGGGGGGCCCGGGGGGGGGGGCCCAAAAAAGGGGGCCCCCCCCCCCGGGGGTAAAAAAAAAAAGGGGGCCGGGGGGGGGAAGGGAAAGGAAGAAAAAGGGGGGGCCCGGGGGGGGGGTTTTCCAATTTTTGGGGGGCCCCCGGTTTTTTTTAAAAAAAAACCCCCGGGGGGGGCCCCAAAAAAAAAAAAAACCCCCAAAGGGGGGAAAGGAAAACCCCCCTTTTTTTCCCCCCACCCCCGGCCGGAAAAAAAAACCCCCCCCCCGGGGGGGGGGAAAAAAAACCCAAAGGGGGGGGAAGGGGGGGTTTTTTTTTTTCCCCCCCCCCCCGGGGGAAAAGTGGGGAAAAAAAAGGGAGGGGGGGCCCCTTTAAACCCCAAAAGAGCCCCCGGGGGGGGAAAATTTTGGGAAGGGTTTTTAAAAAACCCCCCCCCGGGGGGGGTTTCCGGGAAAAGGGGGGGTTTGGGGGGCCCAAAAAAAAACCCCAAAAGGGGGGGGGGGGGAAAAAAAGGGGTCCCCTTTGGCCCCGGGGCCAAAAAAAGGGGAGGGGAAAAAGGGGGGCCGCTTTGGCCCCCCCCCCAAAAACCCAAAAAAAACCGGGGGGGGGTTTTGGGCCGGGGGGGCCCCCTTTTTTTCCCCCCCCCGGGGGGGCCCCGGGGGGGGAAAAAAAAGGGGGACCCCCCCCAAAAAAAATTTTTAAAAAAGGGGGGGGGCCCCCCCCGGGGCCCCCCAAAACCAGGGTTTGGGGGGGGGGGAAAAAAAGGGGTGTCAGCCCGGCGAGCCCCAAAAAACCGGGAAGGGGGAAAGGGGTTTTTAAAAAAGGACCCCTTTGGGAACCCCCCGGGCCCGGAAACCAAACCGGGGGAGGGGGGGGGCCCCCAAAAAACCCCCGGGGGGTTTTTTGGGGGGGGAAACAAAAAGGGGTGTCGGGGAAAAAAGGGGGCCCGAAAAGGCCCCCCCCCCTTTTTTTTTGGGGGGGGGAAAAAAGGGGCCCCCGAAACCCAAAAGGGGGCCGGGGGGGGGGTTTTTTGGGGGGGGCCCCCCCCGGGGGCCCAAAAGGGCCCCGGGCCGGGGGGTTTTTCCGGGGGGGCCCCCTTTTTCCCCCCCCCCAAAAAACCCCCCGGGGGGGGAAATTTTTCCCCCCAAAGGGCCCCCTTAAAAATTTTTTAAAAAAAAAGGGGCGGGTGCCCCCCCCTTTGAAAAAAAGGGGGGGGGAAAAAACCCGCGGGGGCCCCCCAAAGAAAAAGGGGGCCTTTGGGGGAAAGGGGGGGGGTTTCCCCCCCCCCCCCCAAAAAACCAGGGGGGGGAAAACGGGGCCCCAAAACCCCCCCCCAAAAAAAACCCGGCCCGGGGGGGGGGGGGCCCCCCCTTTTCCCCCCCAGGCCCAAACCGGGGGGGGGTTTTTGGGGGGGCCCCCCAAAAACCCCGGAACCCCCGGGGGGAAAAATTTTTAAACCCCCCCCCCCCCCCGGGGAAAAAAATTTGGGGGGGCCCCCCGGGCCCCGGGAAAAAACCCAAAAAATTCCGGGGGGTTGGGAAGGTTTTTCCAGCCCCGGGGGGGGGGGGGGCCCCCCGGGAAAATTTTACGGGGGCCCGGCCCCCCCGGGGGCCCCCAAAAACCCCAAAACCGGGGGGCCCGGGGGGGGGGTTCCTTCCCGCCCCCCCCCGGCCCCCCCCGGGGGGGGGGGCCCCCAAACCCGTTTTCCCCCAAAAAAGGCCCGGGACGGGGGGAAAAGGGGGCCCCCTTTGGCCCCCCAAACCCCCAAACCTTTTTTGGGGGGGGGCCCCCGGGGCCACCCCCCCCCCCCGGGGGGGGGGAAAAAAATTTAAACCCCTTTGGTGGCCCCCCAAAAAAAAAAAGGGGGGGGGTTTTGGGAGGGGGGGGGGGGAAAGGCCCCCAAAACCAGGGGGGGGCCCAGGAAGGGGTTTGGGGGTTTTTCCCCCCCCCCAAAACCCCCAAAAAAAATTTTAACGGGGGGGGGTTTTGGGAAGGAAGGGCAAAAAAACCAAAAAAGGGGGGGGGGAAAATTTGGGGAAAAAATTTTCCCCCCCCGGGGGGCCCCCCCCCAAAAAAAAAAGGGGGGGGGGGCCCCCCCGCCCCCCCAAAAAAAACCCCCCCCGGGGGGGGGGGGGTTTTCGATGTAAAAAAAGGGGGGCCCCCTTGCCCCCCCCTTTTACCGGCAAAAAAGAGGGGGGGGCCCCCCGGGGGGCCCAAAAAAACCGGGGGGGCCCCTTTTTGGGGAAAGGGCCCCGCCCCCAAATTTTTCCGGGCCCAAAGGGGCCCGGTTTTTCCCGGGGGCCCCCAAAAACCCCCGGGGGGGGGGGGGGGGAAAAAATTTTTGGGAAAGGGGCCCCCCCCCCGGGGGCCCCCTTTAAAGGGGGGGGTTTTTTTAAACCCCCCCCCCCCCCCTTTGGGGGGAAAAAATTTTTCCCCCCTTTGAACCCCCCTGGGGGGGGAAAAAATTTGGGGGGGTTGTCCCCCCCCCCCAAAAACCCCGGGTTTTTTTTTGGGGGGCCCCCCAAAACCCCTTTTCCCCCCCAAACCGGGGGGGGGAAAGGAAAAGGACCCCCCTTCCCCCCGGGCCAGGCCCCCCCCGGGGGGAAAAGGGGGGGGGGGCCCCCCCCAAAACCCCGGGGAAAAAAAGGGGGGAAAAAAAAAAAGGGGGGGCCCAATTCCCCCCGGGGGCCCCCCCAAAGGGGCCCGGGGGGGGTTTTTTTTTGGGGGGTTTACCCCCAAAAAAAAAAGGGGGGGGGGGGGGGGGGGAAAAAAAGGGGGTTTCCCCCCCTTTCCGGGGCCCAAAAAAACCCTTTGGGGGGGGAAAAAAAATTTTTTTTTCCCCCAAAAAAAAAGGGGGCCCAAGGGGAAAAAGGGGGGGGGTTTTTCCCCCCCGGGGCCCCAAACCAAAAATTTTCCCAAAAAAAAGGGGTGTAAATTTTTTGGGCCCCCCGGGGGGGGGGGGGAAAAAAATTTTAATTTTTTTGTTTCCGGGGCCAAAAAAAAAGGGGGGAAAAAAGGGGGGGCCCCCCAAAAACCCCGGGGGGGGGCCGGGGGGTTTGGGGTTTAAACCCCCCTTTTTCCCCCCTTTTTGGGGGGGGGGGGGGGCCGGGGGAAGGGGGGCCCCCCCCCAAAAAAGGGGGGGGAAAAAAAAGGGGGGGGGGGGGGGGGAAAATTAAAAAAGGGGGGGGGGGGAAAAAACGGAGGGGTTTTTTTTTCCCCCCCCCCGGCCCCCAAAGGGGGGAAAACCCCCCCTTTTCCCCCCTTCCCCCCCCAAAAACCCAAAGGGGGGGAAAAATTTTAAACCCCGTTTGGGTCCCCCAAAAGGGGCCCCCCCGGGGGGGGGGGGAAAAGGGGGGGCCCCCTTTAAACCCCCGGGAAACCCAAAGGGGGCCCGGGGGAAAAAAACCCGGGGGCCCCCCTTTTTTTTCCCCCCCCCCAAAAGGGCCCCAAAAGGGGGGTTTTTGGGGGGGGCCCCCAAATTTTGGCCCCCCCAAAAAAAAAAAGGGGGGGGGAAACGGAGGCCCCGGGGCCCCCCCAAAAAAAAAAACCCCGGGGGGGGGGGGAAAAAGGGGCCCCCCCCCCCGGGACCACCCCCTTTTTGGGGGGGGGGGGGCCCCGGGGGCCCCAAAAAGGGGGGCCCCCGGGGGCAAAAAAGGGTTTCCCAAAGGGGCCCCCTTCCCCGGCCCCCCCAAAAAAAAAGGGGGCCCCCCCCCAAAAGAAAAAAAGGGGGGGGTTTTTGGCCCGGGGTTGCCCTTTTAAGGGGGCCCCGGGGTTTTTGCCCGGAAAAAAAGGGGCCCCCTTTTTTTAACCCAAAAAAGGGAAAAAAAGGGGGGGGGGGGGGAAAAACCCCAAAAGGGGGCCCCCCCCCCCCCCAAAAAACCCCCTGCGGGGGGGGGCCCCCCCCAAAACAGGGGGGGGCCCCCAAACCAATGGGGGCCCAATTTTTGGGGGGGGCCCCCCCCGGGGGTTTCCAAAAAAAAACCCCCCGGGGGGAAAAAACCCAAAAACCCCCCCGGGGGGGGCCCCCAAAAGGGGTTTTAAAAAAAAGGGGGGCCCCCAAAAAAACCGGGGCCCCCCAAAAAAAACCCCCCCCCCGGGCCCCCCAAGGAATTGGGGGGGGGGCCCCCTTTCGGGGGGGAAACAGGAAAAAGGCCCCCCTGGGGGGGGGAAAACCCCCCCAAAAAAAGGGGGGGGGGGAAAAAGGGGGAAAAAAGGGGGCCCCCCCCCAAAAAGGGGCCCAAAAAAAAGGGCCCGGGCCCCTTTTTTTTGGGGGGGGAAAAAAAATTTGGGGGGGGGGGGAAAGGGGCCTTTTGGGAAAAACCCGCCCCCCCGGCCCAACCCCGAAAAGGGGGGGAAAAAAGGGGCCCTTTCCCCTGGGGGGCCAAAAAACCGGGCCCGGGGCCGGGCCAAAAATTTTTAAAAACCCCCCAAAACCCGGAACCCCCCCAAAAAGAGACCGGTAAGGGGGGAGGGTTTGAGCGAAGGGATGTCACCTATTGGCCCCGGACTCGGGACCAGTCCCTTCGATCGCAAATTTTTCGGCGCCTTTCAGCCCGCCCCGGGCCCGAAAAACGAGACCGGTGACGGAAATTGCCCGGGGGATGTCACCCTATATGGGCCCCGCGACTCAGGACCAGTGCGCGATGGAATTTACAAGGCGCCCCTTTTCATCCGCGCCCCACCGGGAAAAAACGCAAACCGTGACGGGGGACGGATTACGCAATATGTCCCCCTATTAGACGGACCAGGACGTGGTTCGATCAGCGAAACAGGCGCCCCGCCTTCAGCCCCAACCGGGCCCACCGAAAAAACGCAGAGACCGGGAGGGGAGGAGATTGAAAGGATGTCAGCAATATGTAGCGCCCCCGAATGCGTTGATCGGTTTTACAGAGGGGCCCCCCTTTTCCCGCGCACCCCCCAAAAACGAAAGCCCGGTGACGGGGGACGGATTGACGCGAATGGATGTCCCCCTTTTAGGCCGAGCCAGGACCAGTGCGTTGACAGCAAATTTTTAAGACGCGCCGCCTTCAGCCCCCAACCACCCCGAAAAACGCAGAGCCGGTGACGGAGGACGGATTGACGCGAATGGATGTCACCTTTATGGGCGCCCAACTCAGACCAGTGCGTTCGATCAGCAAATTTCAGACGCGCCGCCGTGCCCCGTGCGAACCCAAAAACGCAAACCGGTGAGGGGAGAGGAGACGGGGTTGATGTCAGCCAATATGTAGCGCCCCGACTCAGGCCCAGGGGTTCGATCGGGAAATTTTTCGAGCGCGCCCCTGTCAGTCCCTGCACGAAACCCCCCAAAAAACGCAGAGACGGAACAGGAGGACCACGCGAATGGATGTCAGCCTAAATGTAGCCCGAACTCGGACCGTGCTTCGATCAGCAAATTTTTTGATGGCCGTCCCCACGCAGCACCGAAAACCCGGCCGGTGACGGGAGGACGATTGGGCCGAATGGTTATATTAGCGCCGCAACCGGACCGGGCGT